TGGGTTGGAAAGGACCTTAAGATCATCGAGTTCCAATCCCCTGCCATGGGCAGGGACACCTCACACTAAACCAGGTCACCCAAGGCTCCATCCAACCTGGCCTTGAACACTGCCAGGGATGGAGCATTCACAACTTCCCTGGGCAACCCATTCCAGTGCCTCACCACCCTTACAGTAAAGAACTTCTTCCTTAGATCCAGTCTGAACTTCCCATTTCAGTTTTAATTGCTACAGAGCAGCGTATTAACCACCAGGATCTGCTAACTGCGAGCTGGAGATCACTGCCCTCATTTATTGGGGCACTTATCTATCAGCCCAGCAGAATTCACATGCTAATCCTCATCTAAAACTATCCCCTTTGGGCAAGATCCTCTTCAGGCTCAGCACCACAGCTGGAAGCTACCAGAGCCCTGCTTGCAGTCGCTGACCCCATGGCAACACTACCATCACAAGTGACAGTTTCAGCCCCGGGTCCAGAGAAGCCCATTGCTCAAGGGGCTGGTATAAACCTCAAGAGCTCTGCAGCAGGTAATGAAAGTGTGTGACTGCCTCTCATCCTTGGCTAAAGCAGAGCAGAACCAAAAGAATACATGGGTTTTTTTTTCTCCTACGCTGTGGACAATGAATCGGATGAGCAGGAAGGCTTCTCCTCCCGTGCTCCCACACGATGATTAATCTTCCCAGCATTTGAAGATGTTGGTCGTTATATCCTGGCTCGCTTTGAAATCCGCTCTTAAAAAGCAGCAGCAGGAGGTTATGTTTATATGATGAAAGATTTTTGTGAAACACGCATTTGTTTCAACGTCCTTGGAGCAAATCTAACCCAAACCCTTTAAGGAGAGCAGAGATTATCACAGCTGGGGGAAAGCAGAGACTGCTGCAGACGGCGATGTCTCTGGGTTCGGGCCTGACAATGGACTACACAGCTGATGGTCCAATGGAAATTCACCCTTTGGGAGGATATTTTCCTTCAAAGAGAAACCAGTCTTCAGTGATGATTACTAAAAGCCTGGCAGTTTCTGAAGGCATCATTCTGCTTGCTCCTTCTGTGGCTGGAAGATTCCTATATGCTGTCAAACAGGCTCCCCGGCGCATTTTGGAGCCATGCTTGGTCCCCACCATTGAAAGGGAAGACTGTAACCTCCTGGTTTCTTTCCAAGGAGTTCAGATGAGTGCATACTCGTTAGGAGACCTTGAATAGCCAGATTTTACCTGAAGAGGAGAGATCTTCCTGCTCCAAACAACTCGAGATAAAGCCTGCTATAGACAGAGCGTCTTTCATTCCCCAGGATGCCATTGGCCCCACCACATCTTACACAAACTGCTTTTTGGATTGACTCCAGGCACTCTTTTGACCCATTCCAAATATTTATGGTTGGTTTCAGACTGTTGGGTTTTCTTAATGCTTCTGTTTGTCAAACCCCCTCCTTGTTTCCCTTTCCTTGGAGTGCCAAGCAGTTTCATCAGCTTGTCTGCGGTTCTGGCCAGCCGGAGCTGCCTTTGCTGACAAGTCAACCCCTTGCCTGAAGATTATTCTTGGCTTTCCACTTGGGATCTTATTTCTGAAGCCATCTAAAATAGGACGTTGCTCCACATTCATGACAGCAAATTCATTGCATTCTCATGGCCCTTACCTTACTTAAGGAGGGGAAAACAGAATACAGACATTCTGATGATGCTGGATTTAACGGGAAACAAACCCAGCTTGTGTAGGCTGCTACATTAGTCACCTGGTGTTCCAAGAAAGGAATAAACTAGAACTGCTTCTGCTCTTTCCTCCCTGCACCTTATGCTATGTTTCTGGTTTTGCATTATTCTTCCTCTTGTTTTCTATTTTCCCTGGCACAGAAGAGGTTAAGACTGTGGAGATGTAGACCTTTACCATAACTAAGCAAGATTCTTCCTCTTGTGAAAGCTCATTCCTACCCAGTTCTGGTTTAAGAGACATAGAACAGATTGTTATCTCAGATGTGAATGACTTTTTCCCTTGTTCCTAGAAAACATAATGCTGGCTGAGGTTGTGGTGGGTTTCATATTGTGTAAATGTCTCTCCTGCTAGCAGAGAACTGCCATTTGAGTTCTCACCAAGGCTTCCGTGCAGCCCTAAATGTGAGTCTTAATTCAGATAATTAATATCTTCTATATATGAATGCGGAGTGAAAAGGAAAGCAGTGAAACCTGCAGAGCAGTGCATGATGATGTGTCTCAGTTCAGAGGTTTGGGGGCTAGATCTGCTGTTTTATGGCATTTCAATAGCTTCCTAGGCAGGGTGAGGTGACTGCCTTCTCTGCATCAGCCATTCGCTTTTGACTGTCAAAGGGATGAGCAGGCTTGGAAGCCCCTTGCTTTACAGGTTTGGCACATAGAATCATAGAATGGTTTGGGTTGGAAAGGACCTTAAGGTTCCAACCCCCTGCCATGGGCAGACACACCACACACTAGACCATGTCGCCCAAGACTCTGTTCAACCTTGCCTTGAACACTGCCATGGATGGGGCATTTATCACCTCCATGGGCACCCTGTGCCAGTGCCTCAGCACCCTCACAGGGAAGAGCTTCTGCCTTAGATCTAACCTGAACTTCTTCTGTTTCAGTTTGAACCCATCACCCCTGTCCTATCACTACAATCCCTGATGCAGAGCCCCTCTTCAGCATCCCTGTAGCCCCCTTCAGACACTGGAAGCTGCTCTGAGGTCTCCACGCAGCTTCTCTTCTCCAGGCTGAACAGCCCCAATGTTCTCAGCCTGGCTCCATACAGGAGCTGCTCCAGCCCCTGAGCGTCCTTGGGGCCTCCTCTTGCTCCAACAGCTCCATGCCCTTCTGTTGAGGACACCAGAACTGCAGCCAGTGCTGCAAGTGGGAGTTTTTATGCCTGCACACCACAGCCTAAATGAAATTGGGGTAAAATCCACCACTGGTTTATCTGTTCTTGTAACTTAACAGCCTGCAAACTTCCTCCTTGGCAGGACAAGATGGTCAATGGATGCTGACAGGATCATTTGGAGGAGGAGGAAGGCTATTCCAAAGATGCCTTAAACTTTTATCACCTACTTTATACTTTAGTTTTCTGGCACCATATGGAGGCTGGTACCCCAGGCTGGAGGGAACTTACTCTGTTGGCTGAAGTTGTCTGAACTATACAGACACGCTGTCTAGGTGACATTGCCATGGTTACGTTATTATCATCACTATTATTACATTTCAGCCTTTCAGGTGTTTTATTAGAATACCTCCTCCCAAAACAATCCCAGTAATCCATCAGCACATGGACTCATCTAACAACAAATCATGCTTTTCACTTTGCTCTTTAAGTAACCCAAGGCACGCTCTCCTAGGTTAAAAGCAAGCTACTACCCACCCTGTGAAACTGCAATCCACTTTCCCAGAGCAGATAACGAAGTCCTTAATTATCTGGGCTGCTCAGGAACCCTGTGTTCTCTGCCTGTATATCTAAAACCTTAAAATAATCAATATCAGACAGTTATCAGCCTGAATCCTTATGGGCCATCAGGGATTGTTTCGCTCATTCTCACTGCCTGTAGACGAGGGAGTTTAGGGCTGTTGTTTGCATAATGTATCAGCCGGTTTAAATGCATGGATTCACCCTTCTCTGATCACAACCAGATAAAAGGAGGGCAGCAGCAGTGGGCCTGACAGCCTACACACATCCAAGCCTTTAAATGGTCATTAGGGCCTCGCTGCTTGCAGGGGAGGAAGAGCCGCCTTGGGGCTGCACAGAGAGGGAGGATGCCTCGGAAGCTCTGTCCTCCCCACACACGGGGGAGAGCTGGGTGGGAGCACCCATCATCCCACATGGTGCAAGCCTGCAGGGACCCGGCAGCTCCTCAGATCAGGCTTCAGGAAGGAGAGCAGCAGATGAGGCTCCGTGCCACCGGGAAGCCTCAGAAAGCCCTTAACGGCGTGCGGAAAGCCGGCACCTTGTTCTGTCAACTGCCGAGCTTGTTCTCTTCGAACTAAAGGAGCCCTTCCTTTTTAAAGCTGGCAATTTCGCCCGGTTCTGCTGTCACTACCTACGCTTTGTAGTAGCTATCAACAGAGTTTAGGTGTTGTCTGGTTTACATGCTGAGGCTGCCCTGGTTTACAATGCATTTCAATGCACTTATCCCTTTCTTTATGCTTGCGTGAGACAAAGCGGGGTGGTTGGGTTTGGGTTTGGGTTTTCTTTCCTTTTGCAAAACCAACTCTGTTAACTCTGAAACTGGGCCAGTAACAGAGAGGCTTCCCTCCATCTGCCTGCTCCATCCTTTCACTGCCCTGATGCCTAAAAACCGCAGGTTTCAATGGTTCTCAGAGTCACAGAGGGCTTTCTGGCTACCACTGGAGTGCTGCTCGAGCACCAGGACACATCTCAACCACTGCTGCAGCCTCAACAGGAGCATTTCCTGCTGTGAGAGGGGGAAAAATACAGCCTATTTTCAAAGACAGGCTGGAGGCTTGAGCGTAATTATCTTGCCAATCTCTTTTGCCTTGAGTATTATCTATCACCCTGTAGTTTTCTTCCTCCCAGAAAAGCAGATATTAAATTCTACTTTTCTTATGGCCATAAAAGTAATTTTCTCCAAATTATTTCTTCCAGTCCTGCTAAAAACAAGACTGATAATGCAGCAGGACCCCCATCCTCCCAGTAATTACACTCTGCCTCCTCACTCCTTCAATACCAATTTCTCAATTTATTTGGCTTCTGTCTGGAGCTGCAGCCACACGCAGAGACTGGGCTCTCTGTCTTCTTATTACACAGACGAAATCGCTTCAAAAATGTAATTAAACGTTTACCTTGAAGACAACGCTTTGTCTTCTTTAAGAAGCATGGTATCTTAATTTAACCTCATTTAGAAAACCTTGCCTTTCTAAGCTTCTACCTTCAAGACATTACGCTAAACACCAAGCAAAACAGAAAGAGTTCCTCATTTAACCTGATTAAAAGATAAGCTTTCAACTTCTCCATCAGTGCTGTGTGAAACAACGAGCTTGGCATAGCCTTTTGGTTTGATCCAAACTGTCTATTTTATTATCCCTCTGCTTCGTTCTCAGCTGTCAATTTTATTATCCTCCTTGATGCCCACAAATCCTCTTAGAAAGCAGCATTCTCCAACCTTTTCAGTCCTGGGCCCATCTGTAAGAAGATGAAGGGACCACTATCACAGTAGCGGAGGTTTTAGGTCTGGGGGGGGGTTTGCTCAGGTTTTGGTGTTTTCTTTATGAGGCTGATACAAAACACAGCTTGAGGTCCCCCTGGGGAAGAGGAGGTCTGAGGAGGGTGAAGGATTATTACATTTAGTCTGAGGCCAAGGTGATAGGGGATGGAACAAGGGATGAGGGAAGCCCATGGTCTGCTGCTGGTCCCCGGGGACCACCGTTAAACGCAGAAGGCAGGGCAGCAGTGGAAGCGCTCCCAGCTGCACCAGCGCTCCCAGTGATGGCTCCGGCAGCTGGCTGTCAGGGTTCAGGACACATCATCACTGAGCCTCAGTCGAACAGCTCAAAGTGAGGGGAGCCCTGACCCAGCAATCAGATCAGGGATTCCATCCCCGTGGTGTCTGTTGCTTAGGAAGGAGCACACTAAAGCACAGGGACTCCAGGAGCAGATGACTTCTTCCCTCGCAGCTCCAGCTCCTTGCCAGCCTGCAAAACGTTCTCTTATAGCTCTTATAGTCACATCAGTGGCTGCAGCTCACCCTCTGCTGTGAGCCTGCTGCCCCTCTGCCTCATGCTGTCCCACCTCTGGTGACCTCCTCCACTCCCCCAGCTCTGAGCAGTTTCAGCTGCCTTTGGGTGCCCTTTTTTCTCTTTCCTCCTAAGATTTTGCTGGGGTTTGGGGGCTTTTTGTGGCTTTTTAACATTTACAATCAGAAACCCTTTGGTTCACCATCCTCCCCTCCGGTACAGCACACCTCACAGGGTGACTGTCAGATCTGGTTAGCGCTTGTACGGCACACTGACGGTTAAGGCGTGTGATGAGGCTTTAAGCACTCGGGATCCAGGTGTGCCTCGTGGCAGCTGGCTGCGGGCTTATAAACCCCAACGGGGCAGGTTTGTGTGCAGAAAGCCCGTTCCCGAGCCCTCTCCGAGGCTCCCGCTCCTCACCGCATGCCAGGCCCCCACGGACACCCACGGACACCCACGGACACCCACGGACACCCACGGACACCTCACCCCGGGCACCCTGAGGGCTGCGGGCCTCGGGAGCAGCGACGGAGAGACGAGTCCCGCACCTGCGCCCCCCGCCCCTGTTTGAAGCAGCCGGACACCCCTCGGCCAATGGCAGCGGGACGGGCCGCCCCCGCAGCCAATGGAAGCGGGACGGGCCGGCCCCGCAGCCAATGGAAGGCCCGCTGGAGGGAAGGGGCGGGGCGGGCGCGCCCCCGGCTGGAGCCGGGCAGCTGTGGTAAACAAGCAGGCGGGTCTCCCGCTTCCTTGGCGTTCAGGGGAGCCAATGGGCGAGCGGCTCCTCCGCCATCCAGCCAATAGAGAGCGAGGGCGGGGCGCGAGCGTCACGGCGGGCCTCACCCGGTCCGCTGATTGGCTGGCGGCGCCCCCGCCACCTCCCCCGCGCGGCCGTTGGCAGGGGGCGTGGCTCGGCGAGGGGCGTGGCCGGGGCGGTGCTGCCGGCGCTGTCGCAGTGAGCGGCGGGTGCGGGCGGGCAGCGGGAGGCTGCGGCGGGGCGGGAGCCGGGTGGCTCCGAGCGAGCGGGGCTTTCCCCCGGTGCCGCATGGGCAGAGCGGGAGCCGTGCCCCGGGAGCGCGCAGTGCGGCCGGCATCGTCCGCTGGGGCTCGCGGGCAGGGCTGAGGTGTTACCACTGCGGGACCCGGAGGGGCTGGGGCTTGCCGGCGGGTGAGTAACGGGGTGGGAGAGCAGCGCGCCGGGGGGGGGGGGGCGGTTGGCGGCGCCTTCGGGGTCGTGCCCGCCCGGGCGAGCAGGGCTGGGCTGGGCTGGGCTGGGGCAGCTCTTTCGGACGCGTGCGGCTGCTTGAACGGGGTCCCGCTCCCGTTCCTGGTCCGAAAGTTAAGCTCTGTCTCCTCCAGTGCCCGTAAGGAAGGGACTGGGGGGGAGAGGCAATGGAGAACTCTTCACAGCGAGGCCGAGGTTTGGGAGAAGGGGGGAATTTGCCGGGATCTGTTCAGCAAAAACAAAACCCGTGGAATTTTTTGCCTCAAGAAACTTATCCCGAGCCGAGCTTTCTCGTGGCTTGTTATGAGCCCGCCCGTCCCCAGCCCCTGACAGCCTGGAGAGCGGCGGAGAGGAGCCCCGCGTCCCCCTCGCTCTGGCCCCTCCGGGGGTTTCCTCGCCGGGTGCGGATCTTCCTCTCCGCTGCCCCGCCAGAGGAGCCCTGGGGACGGTGCAGAGCTGGGAGCCGCTTGCAGGCTGGGGACTTGGTGGCAGATCCGGATAGGGAAGCCGGGCAGGAGGGTGGGTGAGCGGCTGGGGAGACGGCAGCTCCTCCGGGACAAAGGCTTACACCGCCGGCTGCATCCGTCCTGGTGCTGAATGAACGCGCTCTTCTCTCCCCCGCCTCGCAGGGATGCCGCAGCATGAACCCACCGCTTAGAGAGCAGCGATCGCGCCGCCTCGGCACCGCTCCCTGAGCAAGCCCGACAGCAGCGTCCGGCGCGGAGCCTGCACGGGGACTGACGCCGGGAGCCGCTCCGCCGCCCGGCTCCGGCGGGATGCGATCGCCGCCGCCTTCATGCCGGCAGCAGGGACTCTGAGCCGCCGCTCCGCGCCCTGCGAGCCCCTCGGGCAGGGACCCCGGACAGCGGCGGGGCCCCGGACGGGAGCCGTGCACGCATCGCCCGCCGGCGGCTCCCGGTGAAGGCGCCCGCTGCAGCCGGCGCTGCGAGGGGGGCACCCCTGAGCCTTTCGCCGCCGAGACAAGCGGCGCATCCCGGGGTGGCGGCGGGTCCCACCCGGCGGCCGCGATCCGGTGCCCCATGGTGCTGCTGCGGAAGCTGCCGGGCATGCCGGGCTGGCCAACGGCGCTGGGGCTGCGGCTGCCGCAGAAGTTCCTGTTCCTGCTCTTCCTCTCGGGCCTGCTCACGCTGTGCTTCGGAGCCCTGTTCCTCCTGCCCGATTCCTCCCGCTTCAAGCGCCTCTTCTTGCCCCGCCGCGCCACCGCCTCCACCTCCTCTTCTTCCTCCGCCTCCTCCTCCGCCGCCGCCGCCGCCTCCTCCACCCGCGACACCGACCTGCCCCGCAGCCCGCCCGCCGCCGCCGAGCCCCGCCACGCCAGCCCCGCCGCGCCGCGCCGCCTGCGGGAGAAGCTGCGCTCCGCCGCCCGGCCCGCGCCCCGTGCCCGGCAGCAGGTGCAGGGCGACGGCCGAGCCGAGCCCGCCACCGGCGCTGCCCCCGCGCGGGACACGCGAGCCCCGTTCCGCTTCGACTACGAGCGGTTCCGCCGCAGCCTCCGGCACCCGGTGCGGGGCAGGCGGCCCGGCGAGGACCCCGAGACCCGCGCCCGCAGGATGAAGATAAAGGAGGTGAGGAGCAGCCGCGGCCCCCTCGCTCAGCCCTCGCAGCCTCTCCACTCTCCTCGCACCCCCCTCGCTTCCCCAGCCGTGCCCCCACATCCCACACGCCCCCCTTGCGCCTCCTTTTCCCAAGGAAGGCGGTGGGAATTGGGGAGGGTCTCTTTCCAACGGGCGTCCCGCAGCATGGCCCCACACACGTGCCGGTCAGCATCCGCACGCATCTCCTCCCCGGAGAGGAAAGGTGAGGGCAGGCTGTGACCTGAATTTAAAGGGATGAAATTAGGCAAAGGGAAATCTCATCTTGGTTATTAGGGTAAAAAATCATGCTTGGGGTTGTGCAAGAGGCGGCCCTGGTGTCCGTGTAAACGTGGCTGAGCTGCTCACTGATGAACGTTGTGCTGGTCCATGGGGATGGCGGGATGGGATGTGCCCCCGTGGCTGTCCCATAACCCGCTCCGGTGCTTGCTCTGGATGGAGCTGGCCTGGGGCTTGTAACCCACTAACAGCGACCCTCCGAGCCCAGGGAATGTCACCAGCAGGGAGGCACGGGGGTGACGGCGGGGACAGGCTGGCCTGGTGCCTACAGCTTGTGCATAAAAGCCTGGCACAAGCAATGCAGAGCAATCTGTGACCCAGTTAACTGAGAGCTATAGATTCTGTGTAGTATTTGATTGTGTTTGTCGTATCTTTTGCTATGATGGATAACCAGCTTGGAGGGAATTCTGGTCTAGAAAGAGCTGCCAGTAAGTAAAATGCATGGATGTAATTAAGCAGAGTATAATATTCCTGGGTTTGCTCTCTCACAGAGGTGTAGGCATTCACCAGAGTTGCTGCCCCAGGTTGAACAGAGAAGGAAGTCACAGGTAACATGCCGAGGGCTTTCATCCACCATATCCTGCATTTTAAAACCAGGGGCTTTTTAAAGCTCCCCTCCTGGTATCTCTGACCGTCATGAAAACAAAGGCTGCACCGCTGGTAAAATTCCAGCTTCTCTGGCAGACACAGCACACGCAAGGTGCTGTGTTTCTTCATGATCCCAAGCAGGATTGAGCCACCCTGTCCTTCTGCATCTTGGCTGCAGGGTATTCAGAATATTCCAGTTCCCAGCCCTCATGTGCTTGGAGCTGTGGAGCGTGTTGCTTGAATGTGCTGCATATTCCCACTGTCAAGGTATGGTGGGGTAGCAGAGCACACCCATGAATAACCCAGCTTCTACTCTGTACAAACAAATCGAATTGGAAATTGCATTTCTGGAAGCTAGTGGCACACAGTGCTTTAGTTGTAGTTAATTAGTTTTGAAATATAGGATTATTCCAAGTTGCATGGATTCAGCCCCATCTGTTTATAACAGCCATAATCAGTGCCGGGGAGCAGAGTTAGATTTTTTTCAAGGATGAGAATCCGTAAGTACTGGGTTTATGCTGACAGCTAATTACTCTTCAAACAGAGCCCTTATTCCTTAAAAGTGCCTCTGCCTCTATTTATGCAGAGCAAGAGAGAAACAAACACCGTGCTGAGATGGGAGCCTGAATGCACAAAAGGGACACAAGGTGCAGCCTGTGGGAGGGATAAGGTATGTTCTTTCTTCATGACTCAAAAAGACATGAAGAGAACAAACCAAGAGAGGCTGGAAGACAAACGCTGTATAAAAAGAAACAGATAGAAAAAAAAAACCCACCAAAGAAGAAAGAAGTCATGATGCAGCATTTGGGTTTAGCAGAGATTCTTCACGTGATGTGAGAGACGCCAGCAGGGGCAGGCAGTGGGTTTGCTGCTGTTGGAAGGTGGTGTGTGCAGTAGCTTTTCTCTCCTAGAGCTCTAAGCCCTTGACTTTGATAGAACGTGTTCCAGACTGGCCTGGTACTTAAAGCTTTGGGTTCCCTGCCTGCTCTCCTTTAGCCCATTCTTGCAGGTCAGCACCTCTGTAACAAGGAAGATGAATAGGGTTAGGATTTGTTTTCCTCCAGCTGTCTGCCAGAGCCTAGATGAAAGCCAGGAGAAGGAGCTGGTGCAGGATCAAAGACTAGGGCTGATGTGCAACCTGGAGACTTGGATCTTTCTATCTTCTGATAGGACCCTTCCATCTGAGCAGGCGTCTGCTCTTTCCCACCCAGCCTCTAAGCTGCTTGATGCTTCAGCCAAAGAGGAGGATGTATCGTTAGTTTCTTGGCTGTTATGCGTGGAAAGGATCAGCTAATGTCCTGTTAGACATTTTCTGCTTAGAAGACAGTGCTGCCCAGAGTAGGAAACCCACCACTGTGGTGGCTCCCACTTTACTGCTTCCTGGGAACACTCTGAGCAGTGCTGGGGCATCAGAGCTGCTTGCAGATGGGTCTGGCTGGGGGGTTATCTGCCTCACTTGCCATGTGCTTTGAGTGCTGTGTTTCCTACTAATGCAGCAAGGAAGAGAGGTGGGTTAGAGGGTTGAAATGACTCCTAAAAGCCTGTTAAAAGGAGTAAGTGGTGCACTGACCTGAGCTGTTGTGTGCATGCAGGTATACTGGTTTGCACTCGTGGGTAACTTAACAGAGTGGCTGCCCACTTAGGTTTGACTTAAGACAATTCCAGAGTCAATGAGCAGTTGTTTTCCTGAGAAGGAAAGAAGAGATGCTCTGTATTGCACCGGCTGCTGGCTGCAAAAGGTCATTGGTCACCTGGAGAATTGCCTGGGATGTGCTGCTCCGTGGTCCTGTGGGCGGCCGAGTGTCGGCGGCACGCTGACCTTTCAAAGAAAGCTGCAGTGAAACCAGGTGACAATCTCCCTATGCTGCAGGCTGGGAAACATAAAAGGGCCTGGGATTATTCATCTCTTAAAGTGAGCTCTGAGACACGTTTCAGTTGTGCAGTTGATCAGTCAGGCTTGGCTTCGGGAATAGCTGCTTTTTCACACGTGCCAAAGAGTAATCACTGATGTTCAAGAAAGGATAAAAAGAGAAGGGAAGTGGCTGCAGAAACGCCACAGTGGGATTCCAGAGTTATTTGCTCTCAACAATTTCCAGCTCAGATTGTGACTTTTCACTGAGCCAATGGTTTCCCCTCCAAGTGCCACTGCTGCGCACTCAGAGCTGGGAAAATCCGACCGTGTGGTTTCTGCCTTTTGCATCATAATCACTGAAAAAGGTGATGCTGTCGGAGCTGAGCTGACAGCTTTGCTGATGCTGGGTGAAGCAGAACGGAGTGCTCCGTGCTGTTGCTGTGTTGGCTTCGTGGGTCTCACAGGTAGGGAAGTAGTGGGGAGAGAGAACAGCTCTTCCCTAAAGTATTTTTATACCAGCTCTGCTAATGCCACCCAGTGCTTAGGGACAACAGCTGTGACAAGCTGGACCAGAAAGTGTTCATCAGTGGAATTCAGCTAGCGATCTGTCTTCTGGTCATGAGATGATGGGGAGAATGGAACAGTGAAAGAGATTTACTTTTTCTTTTCCTCTTTGGGCACAAAAAGCAAGTTTCCTTGCCTGGTGTCTGAGAATACCCAATTCCTGATGGTGTCCTTTGTCCCTTTCAAATAAGGGAATATGTCAAATTCAGGCAGGCTTTTAGTCCTCCGCTGGGATTGTACCCTTGGGTTTGACACATGCATTCATTTCCTCCAGACTAGTAACACTGAAGCCTATTCATTTTACAATATGGTTCTCTTCATCCTGGCTTTTCTCCTGTCTCCACCTTCCTCTCCCTCTCCTTGCTGTCTCCTGGCCTCGTTTAACACAGCTCTAAAGATGGATTGGCTTTTGAAAACCAGGCCCCAGGGGGAAGAAGTCCATCAGAGGCGGTGCACGCAGCTACCCTGCATCGCTCTCCTGTTAAGCTTAGCAGCTCCTGTTAAGGTAGATCAGTCTTTCAAACACAAACATATTGACAGTTTGTCACGAGAGGATCATTGGCAAGAAGCAGGAATGGTATCAGGAGCTCAGCTCTTCCGGACAGCTTCTTGGTGCTGGCTGCTGCTCCCATTGTGGGGTTTCACAGCCCTGAGCTGCCATCCGGGAGCAAGCTCCTGGTCTTGGGAAGCTCTGCTTCTTCTCCTGAGCCTGAGATGCTGCCCTGGTGGGAGAAGTGCCTGGTGGAGTGGGGCTTGGAGCAGCTTTCAGGTGAGTTACAAGGGGCCTGGTCACACACCTGTGAATCCCATTCTTGGTTGTCCTCAGCCATTTCATACCCGAAGCCAGAGGGAGAAAGACTTCAGACTCTCCCTTTCCCTGCCCTGTGCTATGTGTATTCCTGGAGAAAAAGCCTTTTCTGCCTGTAATCTGGGGGTGAGCACTACTGCAAGCAAATAACAGAGTCCCTCAGTGGCTTCCACCTGTATTTAACACCGCAGCACATCCCCATGCACACCTTTCTCACTGAGATCCATGGAAAACTCTTATCTGAGAGCATTTCTCCGCACTTTGAGGCCCTGGCTGCCTCCAGGCTTGCTGGAGTTTTCCTTTGCTCCCTCTTCCTTCTCATGCATTTATTTGCTGAACCTGTGCAAACGGGTTTTCTATACTGCACATCCCTCAGGCCGTGCATCCAGTGTGGGTTTTGCTTCCCCAGCCTCCGGTGGATTCACACAAACAAAGTTTAGACCTCGCCTGTCTGAGACTCTTTTGGCTCTTGAGGATGCAGGTAAAGGACTGAAAACTTATCTGTCCTATTGGCATGATGCATGAGTGTAGATAGTAGTTCCCATGCTGTGATCCGTGCTGCAGTGCTGTTTGCCATAGAGGTGCCAATGGCACCTTAGTGCATTTTGGAATTTGGGAGTACCGTGAGGATGTTTGTTCTTACCTACAGAATGCAGGAGGAAAGCACTTGTTCCACAACAGCTGAGTTTGGTACAAGGCTGATTTGGAAACTGCCACTTAGAGACAAATGCACTGTTCATCACACGACAAACTGGCTGGAGTGTGCACCTCTCCAGGCAATGTCTGACTGTGTGTGCTGGCTGTGGGGAAATGAGCTTCCAGGACACACACGTGTTGTGCAGAAGGACTTACACCTTGTGAATGCACACAGGCCCTTTGAAA